AGAGTACTTGCCTAGCATGTATGAGATCCTGGGTTCCTTCCATCCCCAGAACTGGAAAAAAAACGATAATACTAAATGTTGGTGAGAATGTGATCAGATAGGCATTTCCATASTCAAGAGTTGGGCATGTAATTAAAATTTTTTTTTTGTAGCTGTAGATGGACAGAATGCCTTTATTTTATTTGTTTATTGTTATGTGGTGCTGAGGATGAACCCAGTGCCTCAGGCATGCTAGGCAAGCGGTCTGCCACTGAGCCACAGCCATAGCCCCTGGGCATGTAATTTGATAAAGTTAGCAATAAAGAACTGAAGACTTAAAAACATCTCTAATCCAATTGTGTTACTTTTAGAATCTATCTTGGGTTTATCCTAAGGAAATAGATTTAGGAAAAGTATTTTTATATGAGGACGGTTATGGTAGTGTTTATGATAGTGAAGGCTGGAATCAGCAATAAGAAAGTTAAATCATGATGTATTAAAATCCAAAATTACTAAAGCTATATCTGTTAAAACTCCATTATTGAGACATTATTCAATGATAAAATAAGCAAATATAAAGGACATAAAATAATATTTTAAAAATTATCTCAACTTGGACAGGGGACATAGCTTAATGAAAGAGCACTTGCTTAACAGCATGAGGCCCTGAGTTCCATCCCCAGTATCACACACACAAAAAAAAACCTCTATCAATATCCCCATGTATGTACTTTATCTGTCTTATGTATATGCGTATAAGAGCCTGTGGGTAGTATGATAATGATACTCTTTATTTTACTATTTAAGCCTTTCTGTATTTTCCAGAACTTCCACGACCAGCATTCAAGGTTTTTAAATGTTTTACTTACAAAATACAGATTGATATGATGTGACTTGGGACTTCCATGTGACTTTGGGACTACTCATGTTGCTTAATTTCTTTCAAAAAGGAATAATTATTTAATTATATGTCTTGAATTTATATGAGCTGAACAGTGTTGTGGCTGTTCACCACATGGAGACATTAGGTCATTATGTGAYCTGGGCCCTATGCTGAGAGGCCACCCATTATGGGAAGAGGGTACTTGACCTTGAGCAAAGCCCTTAGTAGTGGCCTCCTGTYAAATAGATACCAATACTGGCTCTGCCACTTTCAGAGTTGTTCCAAAGTCCAAGTGAGATCATCCAGGGAGGAGGCTATGAAATGTAGGCTATAGGATGACACTAACCATCATTTAAAGATGAGCTAGTGCCTGCCTGGCATCGATAGTTGGTATATACAGTCTTTCTAAATTTCCCTCCTGATGAGGAAACATACATGGTTGCAGAACACAAAAATCCTCCCACTTCTCCCACGGCCCCTTTTCTTTACTGAATTTAAAAGTACATAGCCCTTGCCAGAAGATTCGGATAGGTCACAGCACATCCCTGTCTACCTCCACCCTAGGGGGAAATGCCTGGCTTCTTCCCAGAAGAGGAAGTGGCAGAGACTTGACATGCTCCCATGGGACCAAAGCAGAGGACAAATTCTACTTGATCTCTGCATAAACGTGGGAGGTCTCTTGACAAATCTGTTGGGTCCAGATCTCTGATCTCTGCTTAGGGAACAAGGTCATTCAGACTATGCATTGGTCCCTACAAGCCCCTCCGTGACTCTGCTGTTGTGAACATAGTTAACCCATCAGACCTGCGTTATTGCAGACTCTTGCTCTGTGTGGTTAGGGAATAAGAAAACCCGCAGCATCTCCATGTCCCACAGCAACGGCTGCAGTCAGACTGCTGCAAGGAGCCTACCTCCTCTGCCACCACAGGCAAAGCGGGGGAGGTATTTAAGTGACCTGGAAAGCTTACCATATGCACCCTGGCTGTATATGTCACCTGGGGAGCTTTTAAATAGTCTGGGCCACACTCCAGGTGCAGAATTTAACCAGAGTCCTTGCAACTGGGAATCAGGTGTCCAGTATTTTTAAAGCTCCCCAGGTGATTTCAAGTGCAACAGAGAACAAGAAACTCTGGCTTAGGATCTGATCCAGTTCTAGGCATCTCCCTGCCATCAACACATTTCCCTTTGTGAGGTCTCCTCCACATCTGATCACTTTGAAGTGTTCCTGGACCACACCTCTTCCCTGTTGTGGATCCAACTGAGCCCTAAGGCATCCTTTCTCCTCCAGCTTCTCTGCAGGTTGGCTCCATTTTTAGCTTGMCATTCCACATCTCCAAGAAAGGTACCATCTTAGCCCAACTCACTKCGGGCCATGAGATACCGCCTGACCTAGGGATTGGCTACTCAGGTGGAAGAGCTGAGCTCTCTTGCCCTATTGATCCATTGGAAGGGATGGGGGTTGTATCATAAAGAATACAGCCACCCGGGTCTGCCCCAGGTCTGCTGTGTGTGAATGTGGGGTGGGACTGGGATAGGGACTAGGTGGGACTCAATAGGAACTACAATGCTTGAACATATCTGTTTCAATTACAAATCATAATCAAACATATTTCCTGGAATCCATTAAAAAATTAAGGATTAGCATTTTATCCTCTTTATAGAACATGATATTATGAGTCTTTTCAAGTATGTGTAGGATAATAAAATGGATAGCTTTCTCAATTATATTTGGAATGCCTATATAATTTTACACATCCTTATCCATAGAAACTACCATTGAATTTAGAATTAAAGAACTAYGATTCTCATCTTAGCAGAGGGATTGTTTTTAGCTTTTACAAGGAATTTTTTAAATTAAAGTATAATCTGCATAAAGAAAAGCATATATATATATATCACAAGTGTACTTCTCAATGATTTGTAACCAGTACCCAGATCAAGAAACATTATCATTATCCCAAAGACACCAATGATGATCTTCCAGTTACAACTGGCCTCCAAGTTTAATCACTGTCTTGACTTCTACCAGCATAATTTAATTTTTTAGTTTTTGTTTTATATGTAATTGCAATCATGAACAATGAACTTCGTAGTCTTCTGGCTTCTTTCCTTTTTTTTTTTTTTTTTTAGCATAAAGTTGTAGTGTAAGCCAGAGGTTTTAGTTTGAAATCTAGATCAACAAACATTTTTTCAACCAGGAACTGTGCTCCGAGCTAGGGACACAAAAACAAATAAGGGTAAGTCCCCGCTCTAAAGAACATTCAATCTAGTAATCTAGTAATGATCGGAATTTAATGTAAAGTGAAATCCTCTTTGTTCCACAAATATTTGTTCAGTATCTGCCATGGGCAGGCACTATCACAGGTGCCAGGGACAAGCAGTGAACAAGCAGACAAAAATTCTAGTGGAAATCCTCTCTTTTATTTCATTAACATGTGTGGGCAAGTTATGCCCACTAATATCCTTTCCCACTGTCTTTCACCCAATTTAACATAAGGGGAAAGGAGCGATAAAAGCTGTTTATTCTGGCAACTTGAGGCAGGCGATGATGAAATCTTTGGTCAACCACACTGCTTGCCCTTTGCAAACCCCTGAGTGTGGAAGGCACTTCCCTAGACCTCCTTCTGCTTTGTTGCATTGTCCACATMTCTGGTGCTGCTTATACGGGACACAACAAAGACCTGAAGGCTGTGAAAGCCTTGGGATGTTAGCTCACCTTGGAGCAAGGCTGAACATCAGTCATGTTGTTTTTCAGAACCATAAATTGAGAAGAGACAATTGCCAAAGTAGTGATGGGTACTAAACCTTCAGATTTGTTTGATAACTATAGGCTGCAATATACATCCAATTGATTCATATTTACTTTTCAGAACCTAGCAAATTATTTGAGCATAAAAGTTGTGACATCAGAAGAAGGGATTAGAAGAGAATCCAACACCACCCCAGGATTGACAGTTTAGGAAGAAATGCAAGTGAGGATTTAATTTTGTTTCCCATCTTTATGGAAAATTTCAAGTTCATATAGAAGCAGAGGGAGCAGTAAATGCCATGGATCACCTTTCAGCTTCAAAAATAATAAACATGTGCCCAGTTCATTTCTAACTTCCTGCTGTCCTTTTCCTCTGATTATTTTGAAGCAATGCTAGATGCTTAGATAATTTAATGCCTAGATAAATTACTCATGAATGTTCAGAAAGTTGAGCTCTCTTAATTCGAACCCCTTTGGTTAACAAACTCAKAGTTGAAGTCACTTAATGAATTAGTGACACTTATTTTTAATCCCTAAATATCCAAAAGTAAATATCACCAGGGTTTACTAACAGCGTAATGATTGTACATTGTATTATTGTTATATTGTGCAATGCACAATCCTATTATTTGGCCTAAACATACCTCTTAAAAGCCCTTTTTTCAGAAAACTGAAAACAAACTTTCCAAAAAAGTTCAACAGGGGTGGAGTCAGTGGACTGAAGTCCTTCTTCATCAGTGATTTCCAAACCAGATCCCCATGGATTTTAAAATTGCAAATAAATTCATTCAAGTGCAATTGTTTCTTCCAACTATTTAATCATAAAATGGTCTAACTTTTCTAAGCCTCCCTTTTCCCACCTTCACCCTGTCCTGTTTTCAAATAAGGCTGTTCATCAATTCAGTGTCAGTGGCCTGGCTGCCATGAGATATCACAGCATTGCTGAGCATAGACATTAATTTTTCTAAGTTTCCTATGATTAAAACACCAAACCACCATTGTTTTGAGCCATCAGAAAGTTCCAGAGGTTTACAGAGCAAGTGCAAAAGATTTTCAGTGTCTTTGTGATGGAAATGTGCAAAATGTTGACTTGGCTGCATCTGTTGTCATACCTGCTCTGCTTGTATCTCAATATGTTACCCAGGGCAAGTGACAGTCGTCGTTGTGAGGAGTGGGACACAAAGCACCCCTTCCATGAGCATTTGATGAGGAGACAATTAAGAGTAAGAAAAGCTGTGAAGGTTATCCGCATAAATAAAACTGTAGAAGACAAACATCTAGATGTTTCTCTGTGTGCAAACACCACTCATTTCTCTCTGAGAGATAAAAGCAGCAAAGATTGACAATCTGTCAGTTAAACTCTTTTCATTGTGTGCTTTTTCTGGGCAGGCTATTCACATCGAACTCCTTTGATGTGATCAGTGATGATGCTTTTATTGGTCTTCCACATCTAGAGTATTTGTAAGTAAAAAAAAAAAAAAATGTTCTCTCACATGATGATGCAGGACAAGAACTCTCAAGTTCCCTTAGCTATCTGACCAAAAATTTTGTAACCTATTGCAGATTCATAGAAAACAACAACATCAAGTCTATTTCAAGACATACCTTCCGGGGACTAAAATCTTTAATTCACCTGTAAGTATGAATGTTGCTGTTACTTTTTAAGCTTGCTGATGGACAATGCAGTCAATCCCTTGTGATTAAAGCACCCACTTTATGAGCGTCCATGAAAATTTAAGAACCCAAATGATCTCCCTCTATGCACACTTGCCATCTCTCTGTCATCTGTCAGCAAGTGTTCAGGAAATTGATTACTGTTAATATTTCTAGCCTAAATCGACCATAATTAGAAAAGTGGTCTAATGCAGAGAAATTACATGACTAAAATAACTTTCTTATTATCTACATCATTACTCACTTCATGGATAATTATGGGTTGACTATGTACTTTAATTTGATATTGGCTATTTTTTCTTTTTCTGCATAAGCTCTGACTTTATATTCATTTAAACCTAATATAGYCATAGGCAATGTCTACAGAGTACCTGAGCAACTTGTTTACATATGAAGTAGTTATTCCATAGGTCTACAGCAGTCATTCTTAATAGGGAGCAATTTTTTTCTCCCAGGGAACATTTAGCAACATCTAGAGACATGCTTGCTGGTCACAAGTAGGGGATGTAATTGAAATCTGATGGATAGAGGGCARGGTTGGACCTAAACAATCTACAGTGCAAAGGACAGTCCCCCCAGCCAAGAATTATTGGCCTAAAATGACAGAGTGGGGAGGTTGTGAAACACTGAACAACAAATTATACAACTTGTTTCTTCTAGCTTCTTCCATCTTCTACACTTGTGCACTTCTACACATGTGCGCACACATACACGCACACACGCACACAGACACACACACAGACATATTTTTAAGGAAACTAGTAGAGCATAGGAGGAAAAGGCATTAACATTTATCGTGTCAGTTTATATGCTTTACAACATTTTTCACTGAGCCCTGTCGATAATCCTGCCAAATAAGCATAATAATCTCCATTTAGAGATGAATGAACTGAGTCTTGAAGGGTGTATATGACTAGTGGACGGCTTAGTTGTACAGTTATAAGAACATTAACTCAACAGTTGAATTGCCCTGGCTATTCATCTTTTCCATGACTGATTCTCAAGTCATTCCAGTATGTGTCTTATCAGTTTTAGGTAAAGATGCAAGAGATACATGTGTAAATGTCATCYTGTCATCCTTAACCTGTTCCCTCACAGCACCTCAATTCCACTTCTGTTCTAGGCCCTGGGGGTAGCAAGAACAAAGCAGATAAAAATGCCTGCTCTTTGCCTCTACTTTCTAGTTTGTCTGTGTGGTCTTCTTGGTACCAGGAGCCATTCTTTCCTGCAGTTTGGTTTGCAGCAAGAGAGTATTGATGGCCAGRTTTTGTTAGTTTGTTTATTGGTACCTAGAATTGAACTCAAGGGCACTCTGCCTCTGAGCTCCATCCCTGGTCCTTATTATTTTTTTTGTTTGTTTTGAGACAGGGTCTTGTTCAGTTACCAAGGCAGGTCTCAAACTGGTGATCCTCCAGCCTTGGTCTCCTGAGGAGCTGGAATTACAGGCGTGCGCCACTGTGCCCAGCCAGATTTATTTTATAAAATCATGTCCATATATAGTGATAACAATGAAAACAGCCTCTGTAATGCTGCTGTTCATGTCAATGATACGATGCAAAAATGGCTGGGAAACAGAATGAATGTTATGCAATTGTATCAGAGTTCAACTTTTCCAAACTTCATTTTCAGACAAAAATAAATAAAAAAACAAATTTGTGGAAGGAGAAATGGAAATTCATGACTTCAAATTGAGATCCACTTGATTCACATAAATACTATCCAACACAGCCCATGCCCGTGGTCAACATGGGGGTGGGGGYGCTGCAGGAGAGAGATAAACCCAGTGACCTCTCTAGCAACCTGAGATGATTTGCCCAGGTGCATCTCCTCTTCAGGCTAAAGACCTAGACCTTCACTTGGATTTCCTGCACAGATCAGAGAAAATATTCTCCCTCCCTCACCAAGAAAGAAAGAAGAGGAGGGAAGACGGAGAAAAATCTGTATAACACCATACTGGATACACATTTTGCTTGACCGGAAGCTATTGTATCCATCAGATGAGGTGAAAATTTATATTTGGGTGATGATCAAAACGCTTTTATGATGGTATAGAAACTATAAGGGAAATTGGCTGGACATAGTGGCTCATGCCTGTAATCCCAGCTACTCTGTACACTGAGGCAGGAGGATCACAAGTTCAAGGCCAGCTTGGGCGACTTAGTGAGACCCTGTCTCAAAATAAAAAAAAAAATAAAAAGGGAATATAATTTAGTACCACTWAGCAGCTAAGCTAGTGAGGATTGAACCCAACACCTCTGGGTTCAACCCCCAGTACCAAAAAAAGAAAAATAGAGCAGTGAATTTACTATCTAGGAACTTTTAAGCTCAAGGGCAGYCTCCCAAGAAAGGGGCATGAATCTCAAGGGTCATGTGAATACAAACAGTGAAATGGAAGTCTCGCTCTAGGCTGGTGCTGCAAGTGGGAAGGAGGTGTGGTAACAGGACAGGGGGTAATGCTTGACTGAACCAGGATGACCCTCAGGTCTTTGTCTAACATGTAGGAGGTTGACTCATGCCATTTCCAGTATTACCCTGTCAGGGTCTAGAAGAATGGAGTGCCATATGGTTCATTCTCAACAGTTTCTAGGATGTGACTTATACTTTACAAAGGGGTATGAACCACAAAGAAAAACAAGATCCAGTCCCACCCTAGAGGAGCTCATTCTAGCAAGAGAAATTAGACTAAACAAATATTTTCTCAACGAATGCCTTTGTCTCCAATCTTCCTTCTTCTTATTATTATATTGTTCTTCAAGGTATATTTTCTTCTTTCCTTTCTTCCTTTTAAGGAGAGATGAGTAGGTAGCATTTGAATTCCAAATGTCCCTCTGCCTGCAAGTTCACTTTCCACTATTTAACTGCTTATAAATAAATCTGGCTTGAGCCTTTCGCTTCCTTCTTAAGATTTTAGGCCTCAAAAATACTCTTTTCTCTACTTTTGGCCAAGTCTTCCCCACTGAAAGGCAAATATTCAAACAGCAAGGATTTAACACCTTTCCCTCCGACCTGCACCTGCTGCAAAGAGTTTGCAAAGCTATTTCATATTCTTGAATTTGTTGCCGTCTCCTGATGACCTAATGAGACAGTAGCACTACYCTCCCCCAGTGAATGTGAACATGGGGGAATGTGTTCAGTTCARGCTGCTTCCCAATAGGAGCACCAAAGCCAGAAATTTCCCAAGGTCTTCAGCAAGATATCTTGAGATATCTCTACCACTTCAGGTAGAGCAGTACCAGAAAGTTCTCATTGAATTCACTGGATCTTTCCATGGGGTATGATTCGAGGAACGAATATGACAGAAAATAAATCAAACCTGAAGCTAAGAGACCTGCCCTTGAGTCCCTATAAAATGTATGAAATCCTAGGACTCTCTCTCAATTCCTTTATTGTGAATCACTGTCCTAATACCATGTTTGTGTATTAGTCAGTTTTTCATTACTATAGTGAAATACCTGAAGCAGGCTAACTTTGTAAGGAAAAGAGATTTGTATAGCTCACAGTTGTGGAAGGTTCAACTGTGTGGTACTGACATTGGCTTAGTTCTGGTGTTGGCCTTCTTGCTGGCAGAGTCCTGAGGTGGCACATGGCATCACATGGCAAGACACTGGGAGCATGCATGTCTGTGTCTGGTATCTGTCTCTCTTGCTATAAAGCCATCAGGAATCAATCATGGGGGCTTCACCCTAATGACCTCACCTAAAGGCCCCGCCTCCAAACGACATTGTCTGATGAAGTTTCCATCTTCTTAATACCAATAGCCTATGATTTTGAGAATTAAACTCCTCCATGAGTTCTGGGACAAACCATAGCAGCATATTTAATTTTAATGTTTTAATAGTTTAATGTTTGAATTAGTTTTTCTGATGACTATGTATTACATTTTTTTATCAGGGAAAAAAATCAATAAAAACTAGTTTATGGCCAATGATGACAAAATCTCTAAACATTATTATTGATTTCCATTATACTTACCGAGCTTTTTCCCCTTGGGTACCACATAAGTGTCACTGTGGCTAAGGCCCCATGGAGCCAGGAGTGTTTGCATGAATGCATAATTATTTGAAGGAAAATTGCCCTCAATCTCTCCATGTTGTGGGGTAGCAACTATTGCTCACCTCTGTGGCTCTGAAGACCATAGGTAACAGTCCCCAAACTCAGGAGGCCTGTGTGTCCCCTATTAGGTAGGCAGGATATCTTCATTTTAGCTTTCACATTGAAATAAAGAGGTAAATGTAAAGAGGTAGTGGCTGTCAGGGGATTCTCAGTCACCAGACTGCCTGGGTTCAAAGCCTGGGAGACCTTGCCCAGGTAATTTAGCCTTACTGTGCCTCAGATTGCTCATGTGTAAAAGGAAAGGTGATCATAATCTGTTAAAATGAAGGTGAGGGATAACAAGGTACTCAGGAGCATCAGRCTCCTAGGGTTGTTTTGAGATTAAATGAGTTAGTATCTACAAAATGCCTAGAGAAGAGCCTGGTGTGCGGTAAGCACCATTGTACAGGAAGAAACTCAAATTCACCATCTAACCTCTATTAGTCCTACATCAGGATTTCAGATGCTGCAGTGTACTTATCCCCTTTAAACATTTCCTGTGAAATTAAAATAACTGTACTTGAAGTGCCGCAGGTTCAGTGAGACACAAACCCAAGCTGAGAATCCGCATTGCAGGGGGGCTGGGAGCGCCCCAGATGGCTGTGGGCGTTGCTTTCTTAGCAGCACAGCCCCGTGGCACTGAAACAAACGTGCTGTCTGAGCCAGTGTGGTCTGCCTYGGAGAGAAGACTTTCCAGTAGGTTCCATAGCCATCATCAGAGGTTTTCTCAGGTAAACCAGCAAACACCAAAGTGGAATGGTGTTCTGCTTTGTCAGAACTGCTGGAAAGGAGTGGCTGGCTGGCTGCCTTGGAAAATGCTTGACTCGACTCCGGAGTTTCAAGGCAACTAGATATTCCATTGGGCGATA